TATTATGCATCAATAGCAGCAACAGCTTTTCCAGGTTCTGCAGTCATCTGAACAAAATTCTAGACATTCGGCACATTCCATTAAAAAAAGAAAAAAAAAAGAAAAGAATAATATCCAGACAACAGCCAAGTTCTGTTGCTGCTGTGGTACCTGGCACCATTTTTTCTATTAGCCTCTTAATCATAATCTGGAAAGAGAACATTCTAGAGTAATATCATTAAATGTAGCTCTGATAAAGCATGGTCCCTACTATGTATCATAAAGCAGGTACTAGACATTTTACATTCATAGTATCTCTAGATTCTTGCTCTTTATGGCTGAGTAGTACTCCATTTTATAAAAAAAAAAACAACCCACATCTTCTTTATCCAGTCTCCAGTTGATGGGCAATTGGGCTGTTTCCAAGTGTTAGCTGTTACAAACTGTGCCGCTATAAACATAGATGTGCATATATCACTGTGATATGATTCTTTTAACTCCTTTGGGAAGACACCCAGCAGAGGGATGGCTGGGTCAAATGGAACCTCTAATCCCAGCTCTATGAGGTAACTCCATATTGATTCCCACAGTGGTTGCACCAGTCTGCACTCCCACCAACAATGGAGAACCCCGCCAACATTTGTTATTGGTTGATTTCTTTTTCTTTTTTGGTACCAGGGATCGAACTCTGGTCCTTGCACTTGCAAGGCAGGCGGCAGAACCCCTGAGCTACATCCCCTGCCCCTGAATGCTCGTATTTAATTCCATGCAATTCTATCAAGTCTACCTCAGGTACAAGTATTTACTGCAACTGTCAAAGACAGGGGACAGTCCCATTGGCACAAACATCCTTTGTGCTGCCCCTCTACGTTTAAATTTTTTTCTGAATTAGTTTTTTAACTTTTATTTATTTATTTGTTACTATATGTTTGTGGTAATTGATGTGCTGCCCTTTTATAATTGCACCCACTTTCCTCCGTCTTTCCTTTTTCTCCTGACCCCTGGCAATCTCTTCTCCACGTCTGTATTTTTGTCATTTCAAGACCATTCAGAAGTGGAAGCACAGGTATGTGACCTTTTGAAGTTGGCCTTTTTTTTTTGGTACCGGGGATCGAACCCAGAACCTTGTGCTTGCAAGGCAGGCGCGGTGCCACTGAGCTTCGTCCCTGGCCTGAGGTTGGCCTTTTTTCAACTCAGCACAATTACCTGGAGATGTGCTGAAAGTGCTGCCTGTATCCGCTGCGCTTTCCTTTTTATTGCGGAGTCGTATTTCACTCTACTGGTTGGTGTACCGTTCATCCATTGTAGACCATCTGAGCTGATCCCAGTTATTTGGCTGTTATGAAAGAGGTCACCGTGAAAATCTGTGCCTAGGTTTTTGTGTGAACCTGGGTTTACATTTCTTTGGGATAAGTGCTGAAGGATATTTATAAATTCCTGTCAGAATATTTTGATTCTAGTGATTTATTGTTTTCTTCTCTATCTTTATATTTATAGTACATATTTTCAGTTGTCTTTGACACCCACTTGAGCACTTTTCTTTCCTTTTTTTTTTTTTTTTTTTTTTTTTCGTACCTGGGATCAAACTCAAGACCTTGTGCTCGTGAGGCAGGTGCAATGCCATTGAGCTAAAATCTCCGGGCCGTTTGTTTCTTTTTTTTTAAGCAGTTACTGAATGACAAAAGTTTCCAAAGAGGAAGTTAAAATATTCATGCTGTACATTGATTTCTATTCTTTGCTCCATTGGGGTTATAATTTAAACTTACAATGATGAATACATGAACCACTGTATATAACTTTGAACTTGGCTTGGTGAAACTTAGGGAGCTCAAGAAATATAGCTAACAGGACCGGGGATGTAGCTCAGTGGTTCTGCTACCTGCCTTGCAAGCACAAGGACCTGAGTTCAACCCCCAGTTAAAAAAAAAAGAAAAAGAGAAATAAAACTAAGCACACGTGCGTTTTTTTGTGTGTTTGTTTGTTTGTTTCAGACTTACAAGGCAGTTACATCAGAGCAAGCCAAGCACACAGAACATGTAACACATTTTAAAGAAAAAACAAAAGCAGAGTTACAGCCACTTCAAGGTAAAGTAAACTTCTCAATTATTTAATTCATTTTCAAGGCACTAAATTACCATCACCTTAGTCTAGCAAGGAGCACTGTCTGGTTTTGCCTTCATTACTAACACAGTCCAGAATGGCCCTGGGTAGGACTTCAAGGAGGAAAAGCAAACAAAAGCTAAAGACCAGTGTTACATGTTTTGAATGAGTGCATTAGATAAATGAACACATTTTACTTTTATCTTGCTGACCAGTGGTTTAACTTCTTTGTATGGAAATAATTGTTCTTCCCCTACTCGGGCATCTGTTCATGCAGGCATAGTTTTAGTAACTGTGTCTCTCTCAGCAGCTTGGCCTTTTATTTCCCTAATTTAAAAAAAAAATCATAAAATGAATTTTTGTGTCAGTTTTGGCTAAGACCACCCTATGTCTTTGCTCTGATTACACTTGGAATTAGTAGAATCAAGAACCAAGACGGATTATACAAAGGTGCAAATTTCCAATAATGAATGTCATTATATTGTACACCTTAAATGTACCAATAAAATTGGTACATTACAGGTGTGGTGGCACACTCCTGTAATCCTAGCACTCGGGAGGCTGAGGCAGGAGGATTGCTGTGAGTTTGAGACCAGCCTGAGCTACATAGTGAGTACCAGGTCAGTCTCAACTACATAGTGAGACCCTGTCTCAAAAAACCAAAAAAGAAAAAAAAGAAACAATAACAATAGCTAGTGGGTATGATCACGAGCTGTCTGTACGACTAACAGCACAGCATTGGCCGCACTCGGTTGGTTTGCTGGCCACACGCACTCAGTTCCCCATCACAGTAGCCCGGCGAGGCAGGTATTACGTGCGCTCCTGTTTCTCAGATGACAACACTGAAGGTGGGAGCGGACTGGTGATTTCCTCAGATCATCAGTTAGTAACTTGATGACTCTTCCGCGCTGACTCACATGGAAGATTGAATAAGGTGGCTGTTTCCACTTAGTATTTGATTAAGTAAGATGCGCAAAAGTAAGACTGAACTCAGGACCTTGCACTTGCCAGGCAGACGTGGCACTACTGAGCTACATCCCTGGCACCCCCCGAAAATTTTAAGTTCAAAACAGTTTACAGGGGGGAAAATAAATAAATAAGTAAATGGAAGTAAGAATGACGCAAAAAAAAAAAAAAAGTTTACAGCAAAGCAGATCTCCCAATTTCCCTCCCCAGAGGCAAATGATAGCAGACGGGGCACAGAGTTCTTTCCGTTGCTGTCACTTGACGGTCTTCCTGTAGAGAAGCCGTGCCCAGTCAGTGCACACAGATCTGGGTGGCTTTTTGGAAAGATTTCACGGTGCTCCATTGCATTCCCATGCTAACCGGGCTCGGTCTTCAAGGTGAGAAAGAGAGTGTCGCAGACGCCGAGAAAGCCAGCCCCGAAGCTCTGGTCGGCCCTCCGGCTTTGAAAGCAGAGGTGGCGGCTGCTGCAGACCTCCCAGGGGCAGCAGCGGGGGTCACAGAAGAGGCCTCGGCCCCAGCCACTGGAGAGACCGCGGAGGTCACGGATGCAACTCGGGAGGAAGCTGGGGGCCTCAGCAACCAGCCCGGTACCAGGGAGAGCCAGAGCCCTCAGGAACCCACCGGGCTAGGAGATTCTGTCCGGGAACCTGATCCCCCTGCTGGGCCGGATGCACAGCAAGAAGCTGATGGTTCTGGTTCAGAGGCCACCTCGCCTCAAGGCTGATCCGCAGCTGGTACCGGTACCGGTTCAATGAAAATGCCAGGGGGTGTCTCACAGCGCTTTTGTATTTTTAGTCATCTTAGTTTTAATTTTTTTTTGATACCAGCAATCGAACTCATGACCTTGCGCTTGCAAGGCAGGCGCAGTGCCACTGAGCGAAATCCCTGGCAGATCTTAGTTCTTAAAAAAGACTTCCTAGCTGGGGATTTAGCTCAGTGGTTCCGCTGCTTGCCTTGGAAGCACTATAACTTGAGTTTAATCCCCGGTACCAAAAATACTTCTGGTTTTGTTTGGTCTGCTAATAGGCCAGACTGTGCTGCCCCTCTTCTTATCCAGCAGGAAAGAGCTGCTCAAACTACAAACAAACCTTCATATGCTAATTGCTAGGGACTAACAGTATGACAAAAGGTGACCATAAAACATTTCCTGCATAAGATAAGCAGTGTATTTGTAGTTCTGTGAATGCCCTGACTTTTTGTTTAGAAAAACCCTATAAAAAGGACCTCAGCCCCTAGCTAGTGCCTCTCTGAGCTACTTGGTTCTGAGAGTGCCATCTGGCCAGACTAATAAAGGTCTATTTACCAACAAGCCCGGTGTGTTCCTTCCTGGGTGATTCTCCCTGCTCGGCAAGCTCCTAGAGCAATCGCTGAGCTATAGGTCCCAGTATTGTGGAGGCCCTTTGGGCTGTTCAAGGCTCCCGGAAGTAAGGCACTGGGTCTTGCGTCCGGGGCCCTCCATAGGCTATGTGTGAGGAGTCAGGGACGCTGGTGCGAACTGCTCCCCAGTCCCGCCCCCCAGACCTCTGGAGAACACAGGTGCCTTCCCCGCCCCTGCTGGGGCCAACAAAGGCATCCTTTCTGACTCAGCCCTGAGAACGGGCGGTCTACAGCCACTGTTTTGGTTTGTTCTCTGCAGGCTTTTCTCATAATTACAGGACGAGTCACCACGATTGTAGGTGTTTATTCAGCCGCAGAAAAAAGGATACTTCCTCTTGTAAATATATGTTTATATGTATACACACACACACACACACACACACACACACACACCCACACCCACACCCACCAAACCCTTAAATGTAGTCTCTTTTAATGTTTTATTGTGGAAAATTTCAAACCAAAGCAGATTAATATGATAAATCTTTGGGCTGGGGATTTAGCTCAGCGGTTCTGGCGACTGCCTTGCAAAGTTCGATCCCCAGTACCAAAATAAATAAATAAATAAATCTTCAAGGGTCCTACATTTATTTTCCAGATCTTGGTCACACTCGCCCCCCAAGACCTTCTGCCCCAGCGGTGAGCCTGCAGACTGCACAAATCTGGGAAATACGTGGATGTAAAATAATGATAATGATTTGTTGATATTACTGCCTCCCTTGGCAGTGATCACATTTCCTTAACCGCTTCGGAAGGAATTTTTTCCCTCCCCTTGAACTCAGGACTTTGGGCTGGCAGGGCAGGCTTGGCACCACTGAGCTAAGTCCCGGCCCCTTATTTTGTTTTCCAAATTGGAATCCAATTAAAGTCTACCAATTACAATTGATCGGTATGTCTCCCTGTCCCCCAATATGGGGGACCTTTGCACTGAAACGGGTCCCCAGCGCTTTATTTTTTAGTTTAAGTCAAGGTTTCACTAAAAGTGGCCAGACTGAGCTCAAATCTGCAATCCTGTCTCAGCTTCCAGGAGTGCTGGGGTTATAGGTATGCACTGTCGTGGCTGGGTGGCCATGTGTCCCTTAGTCCCTCTGCTCTATATGTCACCCCCCCATATCTCTTCTGCTTTTCTTTGCAATTTGTTTTTTATTTTGTTTTGTTTTGGTACCAGGAATCCATCCTTGCACTTGTGAGGCAGGTGGGGGAACCACTGAGCCAAATCCCCAGCCCTGGTCATCTTTCTTTTTGTGATGTTTTGAGTCATGCGCCTTTATTCCATTAGGAACTATAAAATGATGATATTATAATTTTGTCCTTTTTGGTTCTTTTTGTTTTTTTTTTTTTTTTTGGTACCAGGGATTGAACTCGGGTCCTTGTGCTTGCAAGCCAGGCCACCAAACCACTGAGCTAAATCCCTGGCCCAATGTTGTCCTTTTTGAAAATGAATTAGCTGGGCTACTTCTATAACAGAGAACTTCTTACACCAACTATCTGATTACACTGAAGTACATTAGGAAAGACTAAATATTCAGGCGGTTCTTCTTATTTCAACTATTCAAAATAATGAGCTGGATCTCTAGCATCTTCCTTAGGTGACCAATAAATTATTTTAGTATCAGTATGAACTCATTAATTTAACATAATTTATGTAATTTAATCATCTATATTTATTAGGTTGGTAATGCTCAAATTTTGCCATTTTTGACAAATGGAGATTTTTTCCAGTTGGCTTCTGAATACTTCAGTTTTCTTTCTTTTTTCTTTTTCTTTCTTCCTTTTTTTTTTTGAGACAGGGTCTCACTATGTAGTTCAGGCTGGCCTTGAACTCACAGCAATCTTCCTGCCTCAGCCTCCCTAGTTTTCTTGTGTTAAGATGTAAATTTCCTACCCTAGATCTATATTCAGCTTTTATTTTGTTTTGAGTTCTAGGGCATGCATCCAGGACTTCACACATGCGGAACAAGCTTTCCACTGCTGAGCTGTATCCCCAGCCTGTTGTTTTAGGGCCTTTTTACAGTGTGATTGTAGAAAAGCATTTAAAGACTACCGTGTGGGAAGTAGCATTTCAGGGTCACCGCTTGCACACTTATGGGAGTATCTGTTCTACTGAGCTGCTCATTATATACAGGCCTTTTAGCAGACAGTACTTTTTTCTTTTTTTTTTTTTTAACATGAAATACATCATGAAGCAGGCAGAGCAGCACATGCCTGTAATCTCAGGACTCAGGAGGCCGAGGCAGTAGTGTGAATTGGAAGCCAACCCGGACTGCATCGCAAGATCCTGTCTCAAAAAACCAAAATTAAATAAAAGAAAATAATCATACTGATGCTTTCCATTCAGAGTTAGGACCACAGGGTTTTTATTCAGCCTAACTGATCTTCTATTCTAACCCCAAAATTTAGATCTCTAAAACATCAACATACTTACTTACTGATTTATTCCACAGTGTACAAATAGCAATCTCAAGATATAGATTGAGCCAGGGGTGGTGGCGCATGCCTGTAATCCCAGCCCTCGGGAGGCTGAGGCAGGAGGATCGCTGTGAGTTTGAGAACAGCCTGGGTTACATGGTGAGTTCCAGGTCGATCTCAATTACATAGTGAGATCTTGTCTAAAAAAAAACAAAAACAAAAACAAACAAACAAACAAAACGATATAGATTGAGTGTCCTCATCCCAAACTCCAAAGTCCCAAATGCTCCAAACTCTGAAATCCTTTGAGCAACAACATAATGCCACAAGTCTGAAGGCTCGATGTTCACAAACTTTACTTCAAGGGCTGGGCTTTAGCTCAGTGGCACTGCACCTGCCTTGAAAGCACTAGGTCCTGAGTTCGATCCCCAGTATCCAAACAAACAAAAACCTTATTTCATGCACAAAATTATGAATGTTTATAAAAAGTTATCCTCAGCCCATATAAGGTACATATGACACACAGATGAATTTTGTGATTAGTCTGGCTCTCATCCCTGCGATAACTCATTATGTATATGCAAATATTCCAAAATCCAAAAAAACTCCAAAATACTCTTGGTCCTAAGCACTTCAGGTAAAGGATACTCAACCTGTACTATCCTTAATCATATGAACACCAAAAAATACTTAAATTTTTAAAATCACTTTTAACCTTTAATATGTATTGTATATACATGCTATAAACATAAGCAAATTCTTGTGATTTAAAGTCACTTGAAATTGTTCTCTGAGCAGTCATGCCATAAACCAAACCACAATCCCTTTCTGCCTTCAAAGGACTGCCCTTTAGGCTGGGGATGTCCTCCTGTGGTGCTGCACCTTCCTGGGAAGCAAAAGGTCCAGAGTTTGATCTCTGGTACCAGAAAAAAAATTAAACATCAAGGGACTAACCTTTTAAACTACCTAAATAAATGGGGCATGGGGGTGCACGCCTTGAATCCCAGCACTAGGGAGGCTGAGGCAGGAGGATTGCCAAGAGTTGAAGACCAGCCTGGACTACTAGGGAAACTGTATGTGAATAAATAAATAAATAAATAGGCTGTCTAAATAATTCTTAGTAATGGTGTAAACTACTTACCCTTACTCTCAAGCCAAATCTATGTCACAAGGCATACAGGTGACTTCTCCCTCACTCCCTACGGCCTCCATCTCCTCCTTTCCTTCCCCAGTAAGGAACCATGCTTTCAAACTTTATGGCTTCTTTTTCCTTCCATTTTTTCTTCACACAAAATACAGATACATGTCATCCTCCTCCCCTGTTTCACTTGGTGGTTTACCTGTATGCCTGGAGGTGACTGACACCATGACATCCATCTCCGCTAAGTGGGGACCAGTTTGTCCAGCCAGTCTATTGCCGGGCACTTGACTTGTTTCTAATATTTCTGACTACAAATGTGCTGCGGTGAGGAACCTCGTGCCTATGTCTTTTTGCATGGTTGCCACTGTAGCGCTGAAATACATTTCTTTCCTTCTCCTCCTCCTCCTCCTCCCCCTCTTCCTCCTCCTTCTTCTTTATCTCCTTCTTCTTCTTTCTTTTGTTTCTCAAGACAGGGTCTCACTATGTAGCCCAGCCTAGCCTGAAACTCACAGCAATTCTCCTGCCTCAGCCTCGAGTGTTGGAATTACAGGTGTGCACCACCATGCCTGGTTGGATTAGACTTCTTTTTTTTTTTAAATGATGTTTTTTTTAAATTTACCATAAACACCCAAGAAACAAGATAATCCTCTCAATTGTTCACAAATGGAACTAAATCTAGCTGCTCACTAGATATTGATAAATATCCCTTTCCTCTGAGGGAACAGATTTCTTAAAAAGGAGATTGCATATATCAAACACATATGTAATTTTGCTATTACAAAAATTCTTCCACAGAAATAACACCAGTTTGCATTTTCCAAACAGCAATATATGTGAGTATCCATTTCCTGTCAGATGATACTGTTAAAAATCTGGATTCTAGCAGGGCGTGGTGGCACGCACCTATAATCCCGGCACTCAGGAGGCTGAGGCAGGAGGATTGCTGAGAGCTATCAGATCAGTGAGGTGATCTCCATGCTAGGCTTGCATTCCTGGGCCCAGAGCACCCCATGGGGACTTCCTTGATGTTCCCATGCTTTTTCACCATCCCAAAG